AGCTCCATGACCTCATTTGGATGCGCATGGAGATAAATCGCTCACTGGGGGTCAGAGACTCCCTGCTGACAAGACACGTGGCACTGGAGGAGCCACATGGAGACCCCTGCCAGCCCTGAGATGCTTCCACTGCCACTGGATCCACAAGACTTTCCATCCACTGGCCTGCGATCTTCCTGCGTTCAGCATCATTGCATGTGTGAGTCTGAAGAGGACTTTCTACTTGATCTGGACTGGGCCGGGATGTTTTCTTAATATACAATTACTCTTTGATAGAAAGCCCTCTCTTCTACACATATGTGAGTGTCAACAAGTTTGTTTCTCTAGTCCACACAGACTCACACAAGCATGATGGCGGTACGTCCTCTGAGACACATTCATTCTTTCTCCTCTCCGGCGCTCTCACCGACATCACGTGAGGCTGAGGCAGCCGCTGGTCAGCTAATGAGAGTTTTTCAATTCCAATTCTCGCTATGGTGAACCAGGGAGACACAGGCACGACAGATGGAAACATGGCCCGGTCCTCTGCCTGAGCCCGCTGTTGCAGCCACCTGTCAGTCCGTCTGGTCGCGGGCCTCCCTTTTTGCCATCCCTCCATTTTACCAAACACAATGTCTCTTCTCCAGAGGCTGGTATCCGTGTGTGTGCTCAGTAATGTTCCATAGCAGAAACAGAGCACACGCTGCTTACTCATCCCTCTCTGGGGCTGCTACGGGTCAGCGTGGGCTCCACAATGGCCGTGTGGTTTTGGCCCACCGAGTGGGCACTTGGGTTGCGTCCGTGGTTGATGACCATGGTGAACACCACATGGACACGCATCCATCTGAGTCCTCATTATCAGTCCCTTTGGGCATGTAACTCGCAGGCGGCTTGTTGGGTCATATGGACAAGAGGACGCCCCTCAACATGATGGACAGACCCAGTGGTTTCTGGGGGAAACGGACCCAGGAAGAGAGTGTCTGAGGAGGACAAACTCTCCACATGCATACGTTACGGAGTCTGGGAGGCCCGGGCTGCCCTGGAGGGAAACTTCAGGTTCGTGGGTTGGAGAGGTGTCCTACTAACATTCTTCTAGTCAATGTTACTCCCCACGATGTCCCCCACTCTGTCCGTTCATAAGGCCAATTTTAAGGTGCTACTTGCAAGCACATGGTTGCTACTATGTACTTGAAGGTCAACTGCTTGAAGGCTACTTGCCTGACGGTTGTCTGCCATCTAGAGCCATCAGACCCTATTGTCTGTCTGGCCCTAAGTAGGGTCCACTCCTTTCTGATAAGGATCACGGCTGGATGGTTCCCCTGAGGGAGCGCTCAGACTCCTCAAATCAAGCCAATTCAGAGCCAACCAAGATTAGGCTGCCAGCTTGACTCTAGAGCCCGCCTATCTTGTGACATGTGTGCCTTCCTGTCACACGGGTGCCCCTAGTGCGTGCACACCCCTAGCTCATCCCGTTACTTGTATTGTCTCTTTTACGACCCCTTCCTGTTACCGTGCCTACCGTGGCCTGCGTGCCGAGATTATATAAGCTCATGAGATTACGTGACTCTCTCTCTGAGCGGACCTGGCTCTTGAAGTCATGGTGGTTCGAAGGTGAGCCCTTGCACGCTTCATCTTGTCTGAGGTCTCTGTCGTTAACCCCCAAGGTCACAACCGCCCCTTGGATCCCTTCAATGGGGAGGCTGGAGCCCCACAGGCTTCATCAGTGAGCTCAAATGGACGGGAGGATGGGGCAGGACCGGGCAGTGTGTCCTTCCGTTGTCCATCAGGTTGCTGTGTGTCAGAACCAGTGAAACAGCACCCAGCAATGGCCACTGGTAGGTGGCAAGATAGGGGGCTGTTCCTCTCCATGCCTAGGGGACCCCTACAGGCAGTTGGAAGCTGATAAGGGCTAAAGGGCATGTGCCACCACGCCTCCCAGCTGCAGGCCCGCAAAGGCTGGAACCTGGGGACCACGGCCCTCTTTTCCAGCTGCTCCCCCACCTTCTGCTTGGCTGAGCAGCGGTCTCTCTCTCTCTCTGGCCTGAGGCCTCCATGTGTGGGTGTGCAGTGCCATGAGGATACCTGTGTTCAGTTTACTGTTCCACCTGAAACTTCTATCCTTTATAAAAATCCACTTGAATCACAAACCAGGCTTCGGCGTGAGTTTCTTCCTCTGCGACGCCAAGGACCAGGCGTTTCCCACCCGGGAAATCTAACACCTCCACCTGGCCTTAGCTCCTTCTTATGGCTCAGAAATACCCCGTAGTGTGTCGGTACCCCCTCTCTGCCTTTCCGTTCGCCTGCTGGTGGACATGGGATGTGTCCGTCCTTGTGCACGTGTGTGAGCGCAGCTCTGGGCAGACGTGTGTGTTCATTGTCTTGGGCGGCCACCGAGGAGAGGGCTACTGCGGTCCTTTCTTTTCTGTTGTTGTTGTTGTTAGGTGCCAGGAGTCCGCGGTTGCGGACACGGTGTCAACGCATCCTCTGGAGGGCCCTCCTCTTGTCGCTGCCCCTCTGCTGGACCAGGCGTGACGTTCTTCTCCAGGGACTGGTCTCTCCTGACAGCATGTCGTCCAAAGCACGGGGGAGGAAGTCTCGCGCTCCTTGTTTCGACGCAGCCTTTTGGCTGTGCATCTTCCAAGATAGATGGGTGTGTTCTTCGGGCAGACTCTTCTCCAGCACCACAATCGACCGCAAAGGCTTTGATTCACCCGCACAGGAGGCCAAGGACAATGCCACGGCTCGGGTCGGCCACCCCGGGGTCCTCAGCCTGGCATCCTTACTCTTCAACACTCGAAAGAGGTCTTGGACGGCAGAGGTGGCCAGTGTGATATGTTGTTTGATCTCTCGGCTGTTGCTTCCGGGAGCGTTGGCCGTAGATCCGAGTCCAAGGAAATCGCGCACGACGTCAATCTTTCTCCACGTCGCGCGATATTGTCTGTCGGTTCAGTTGTCGGGACGTTTGCGTGCTATAGACATCGGCGCGGGAGCCACACCGGAGGGCTCAGTCTTTGACGCTTCTGCACCAGTCGCC